CTATGAGATGGCCAATCTTTATGTTGTGCAGTAGTAAAGCCGGCTTTAGGAATAGCAGTTTATCCTTTGCTTGTTAGGATAACATGAGATCTTGTTGGATTTTTAACACGTGCATTTAGAACCCTGTAAGTATCTGAAGTTCTTTCTTATTGTGCAAGAAAGCCGACTGTAGGACTAGCAACCCATCATTTGCTTGTTAGGATGACATGAGATCTTGTTGGATTCTTAAGTAACACATCATGCATTGAGACCCCTATAAGTATATGAAGTTTTTCCATTGCTGGCTATGAGATTGCCATTATTTGTTATTGTACAGGAGAGCCAAGGAATAGCAGCCTATTTCTTGTTTGTGAGGATAATGTGAGATCCTGTTGGATTCTTAGTACATTATACCCTTAGATCCCTATCCAAGTTTTCTGGACTCTTGATGGTTTTCCTAGCACCATAATAAAGGATTTATCTTTTATCATTTAGAGTATGTTCAAACTTTGAATTATCTGGTACTGATGGAAAATTCTGATATTAGCGTAATGGGCCACTTGTTTGCACTACGTGGTTCTGTTTCTTGTTTCAATGCCACTGTCCTATTTCTGTTGAGAATTAAGTGAAGTATTTTGGAAATAACTGCAAAGGCTGTGTAGCAGCTGCTAGACTTTGTTGCTGTTTAGTTGGAGCATTCTGGATAATTGTAGGACGACCAAACTTCACATACAATTTTGGTCCCATTGTTTGTCTTGTTGATATGGCAAGAGGAGGTCAACAATTGATTTGTGTATACCTGACAATCTATGTTCTCCAGTGAGATGTTAAAATGCTTGCTTGCTTATGGATCTTGTGACCACCTGGTCAGCTTTGATGCATTAGAAGCTTGGATTGAATTTGTTTCCAGTGATGGGTTACTGCACTAGTTGGTTTTTCCCCCCCTCTTTGGTGAATATATGTGGCCAAATTTGGAGACTAACCTGATGAAAAGAATTAAGCCAGGACGCCAGAGGGTAAAGGAGCGATGGAGTATTTCTGGGGCTTGCTCATGTAGTTTTAGGTTTTAAAGCTGTCTCTCTGCGCTTCTAGCTATCTCAAACTTGAATTCTATGACTCCAAATATCAGATTTCTCAGATGTTAATCTGACTGTCAGTCAATGCCACCTAAATTAGAAAATACCAGGTGCCTACTTAGGCAATTGATTACATATGAATCTTTTGAAGAGTTAATAAATAAGAGTGATGGATGCCTTAGGGCTGGGGAGCAGAAGTTAAATGAGTTTGTTGGAATACTAGTTCTCGTGAATGTGTAGAAGTTTGCTTCACTTGTTATAGAAATGATCGCTGTATGTTTTTTCTTTCTTTATGGTGCTATTTTCTATTGAATATATTCATGGCATTGTAACTCATCTTTCCACTCTTTTTTTTTTTTAATACTAATCTGTCCACTCTTTCAGGTTTGGTTCTTCATGGAATTTTTCCATAGAACTATCTGTACCATAACATATTCAATTGCCTGCCTTGTATGTTTATCTAATATTTGTTTAACATGGTTGCAGATTGGACGCTTGGAATCTTGTCAATGCTGGTGATCTAGAAGAGGAAAAAGAAATGCCTGTCTTTGACGCTAATGTGGGAGATAGATCTCTGGGAAGACCAAAAGGCTTTTGATTTCTTTTTTTGCCGGGTTAGCAAAATCTGAAGATGCTTATTCTGGGATGAAGATTTGTCAACCACCCTTAGAAGGGTTTGGTTGCTTTGCCTGGTGGTGAGGGAGTTGTGTAGACAAAATAACATGGGAAGATCACATGGGAATTTATTGTTTCAAGGAGCGTATTCCGACCATGTTTGTTTGGGGATGAAGATTCTTCGGCCATATAATTCAAAGCATATTTTGCCTGAGTGGGGAATGGTGAGGAATCCTTGGTAAAGAGTAAATTGAGGAAAAACGTAAAGTTCACTGTTTGCACGGGGAAAAAATCCAATGGTTACTTGTTGGGGGATGAAGATTGGTCCGTCATTTGGCGTTGGCTTTCATATCCTGTTTAATAGTGCTATGCGATTATCAGAAGTGAAACACTACAAAGGAGTGTGCTCCTATTGTGAAACAGACAAATTATACTTTTTTTTCCATCTCATGTTCATTTCCACCTTAAAGGGAGACACTACGAAAGGGTATGCTCGTATTCTGACTGTTGCAGGAGGATACATCTCGAGGGAAGTTCCAGCAAAATTGAGTTTCGTATCTTCTAGCCTTTTTTAAGGGCAGCATTCGTATTTTATTTATTATAAGACTGGAGTCCTTTTGTTTGCCCAACTACTCGTTTTGTTCATTTAGATTACGACACTGAGGATGTTTGCATCCTAGGCATCGAATTGAACTGCATCCGGTTCCAGGATCATGAGCTGAATCCCTTAATCTTTGGCAGAGGAGAACGCAGTAATATGTAATTTGACCAAGTCTTTGAGTTCAGACCCTTAAATTTATATTTGTTTCTGATTTATTAATAAAATTAATTTCTAAATCAAATGGGTTTATTTTGGCCTGATTTTAAATAAAATGGTTAAATACAATTTCAATTTACATGAGAACTAACAATGTATCCGAAAGAAGAAAAAAGGTAGAAGTGAAAAACGCCAACCATGAAATCATGGCAGCATGGTCACAGCTTGAGAATTTGAACGTTGGCTAAAAATACCATACACCCAGAAATACTAAATATTATACAGTTGTGTAAAAATACAATGAACAAGAAGAATACAGGGCCATGCATGCCAATATAACGCTCGGCCGCTGAAATCATCATATGCTTAAGAACATTTTGGCATAGTCAGTGAGCTTATCGCATCAGGCAATGCGGGGAAAAATAACATCAAAATAGCTTTGAGTTGCCCTGGCCATTTGCCGCCAGAGGTTCAGCGGAGATAACTTCTGAGAAGGTCATTTGATCCGTTTCATATTCCCTTTAACTTTCACAAGTTGCCACTGACATTGGGGTTCTAAAATCATACGAATATACCTTGTAACAAAATCGACAATCCCAGCGTAACAGAAGCAACTTCTTCTCATAGTTTGTTGTTGCCTGGAATTTGCCAGAGTATATCTTCAACTTCGGTGTTGAAAATGAAGCTAGTAAACACAGTAGTGATCTCGCTGGCCAAGCATCAATACAAAAAGGAAGAGATTGAGTTACAGTTCTTGACTATGCAAACCGTTATAAAATATAAGCTAAATTACTTTCTTCTACCTAATAAATACCAAAAATACATTATTCCTCCCTCTCTTAAGAAACAGGTCCTTCTAAATATTCCTCACTGACTCTAAACACTGTTATTTACTAAAACTGTGAGAGAAGTAACAAACAGAAAGAGCAAGACATAAATCATATGCCGTGAGTTTAGAGTACAGCTATCCAAGTCAGTTTGTTGACAAGCAGCTAACATTTTCTCTTCTCCCCTTAATTTATGGTATTGTATAGGTATCTTTCAAAATACAACAATGACCAACAACTAAACTGATGATTTAAGTTAAGTGGAAGGATTTTCTTTTTCATTTTTTCTTCATTTTGGTTTTTTGCCGTGTCCTCAGCTCATTCATCATGTAAACTGCGGCCATTTTTTTGGGCCAAATGTATACTACTGCCTTGATTACTGATCAGGAAGCACAAACCATTGAATTATAGAATGAAGCAATTCTCCAGAATGTTCATCTATTTCCCAACAAATTATTTTTTTTAATCAATAAACATTGATGACAAAATGAAAAATCAATTATGACAATTGTATGGTAAGTGAACTTAATGTAGGAGAGACAAGGGATGAAAGTAAATTACTTAAGCCCAGGAAGAGTCATGTAATTCAGTAGTGTTGGGTGCCGAACAACATATTCCTTCCATTCTTCTTTATTAATCTTACCATCCTTGTCAGCATCAGCATCTTGAAAAGTCTGATAAAGAACTACAATGTAAGAATCAAAACTCCAATCAAAGTTTTTTTTGGGGGGGGGGGGGGGGGACAAAGGGGGAAAAAAATTGCCTTATCAAGAATAGCTTCCAGAAAGTTGTCTTCTAGTTGCGTCCCGCATTCTGACATTATGGCCATCATCATTTGCCTAACCTGGAAAAAGTTTCAGGGGAGCAAAACAGTTTAAACACTAGCACCTTTATCCACCAAGTATGTCTAGCCAAACTGATGCTGTGCAAAGAGATTTGCTATAACCAATAGCACCCGTTCGATTATACATTATTAACCCATAATAACGGTACAAACTGAATAACATCTGCCAAACCTGGAAATGTCAAGATACTTACTTCTTCCCGCTCAATATATCCTGTCTGCCTCAAGTCATACAATTTAAAGGCAACTGCAAGCAAGCCAGAAGAGACAATAGATATTTATTAATATAAAGTATTAATTGGCTCAGATGAAGGAAGCAACTGCTATTAAATTATTTAAGTCTTACAATCAATTTTCTTTTCCAGAGGAGCAGCAGGATGAAAGACACTAAGAGCATGGATAAACTCGTCAAATTCTATAACACCATTTCTTTTCTCATCAAAGAGATCAAATACCTGAAAACGAGTTATCAACAAGAAATGTACTCACCATTTAACTTGAACTTCAAATCAAGTATGTAGGATGCATTAAGGATAAAAGAAATAGGATAAAATTGTCAGAATGAACATACCCTATCAAGGAACAGGTTCTCGCCACATGACGTTCTCAACAGCGCCAATCTAAGCTCTTCCTTCATATGGAAAACAAAGACGAGTTAAAGAAGGCATTCTGACAAATAATATCAACTCCAGTGTTGATAAACTAAGCAGCCAACATAATCAAATATAACAATGCACACAATCTTAGCACTAAAAGCACTTCCTATCTAAAAAGTCACTGTCACATCTTTGCTTAGAAGTCCACACTCATGTTCAGTGGCAAGGATCTCATTTTAGAATTTTTCAGTGAGCACTACTCCCTCATCGTCATAATGTTTAAATCACTTGTTTCTTTGAACAGGGCAAATCCCAACAACATGCTGCCATACGGTTCAGTGTTGTCATACATCCAAACAAACAAAATTTTAAAGGCAAACTCCGTTAAAACTAAGCAGATGGAAAAAGTCGATGAAGTCTTGACAATTTCAGTTACCTTGTGTATGAGGCCATCGTCAATGATTGAACTACTCAATTTCTTGTATAATTCACGCAAAGCCTCAATTTCATTAACAGTAACTGCACGAACACCAGAACAAAATTGTAAGAAGCAGAATTTCTATACGCAATCAGTGAGATCAGAGAAAGCAACGAACATGGAGAACTCCTAGCAAGAAGGACTAAATCGTCGAATGTGGAATAGATCTTTTTCTTGGGAGGTTGAATATTGAAGCATCCGGACAAGCTATAAGCCAAAGCCTCAAATAATCCTATGAACGGTATGAACACGAAACAAAGCTTCTCCCCGATTGTCAAGCTCGACCTCGGATCCTTTCCCCAGTCAACACAGAGAAAAAGAAAAACAAAAAGGAAAGAGAGAGAAGCATTCAGTAAGAAGAATTTCCCTCAAAAACCGGACTAAAATTATTTGAATAATTTACAACAACATGCGTGGATCAATGATGTTAAACAAAAAGAAGAAGTACCCTTTAAGCAAACATAAAATCCTGATACGAAAAAGAAAGACGGAGAAGAAAAAGCAGAATCAAACGAGAGACATTACCAAAGAGCTCGTACTAAAATCCATATCAGCGAAACATCGGAGATTTTCCCACGAGAGACGCATCCAGAGGTAGATCACGGCAAAATTTTGGAATCTGTTATGTTGTTTCAATAGAGAAATAATAATGACTGAAGGTTGAAGATAATCAATGGCCGCCACATGGGGCTGCGAATGATTGATATTACTGACAAGATTTGTTGTTGTGGCCTGTGGGCGCCGGGGCCACGGGCCACCGACCTTAGGGGCTCATTAATTAATTAATTAAATAGTAGCAATAACAAAATCACATGAGCGTATTATTACGGTAGGGTGATTGGCTAATCAAGGACTTGGCAATTAATAAATAATAAATAGGAGGACGAGAAGGCAAAGATGAAATCTGATGTGGAAGGGGATTGGTGCCAACTAAGACTTGATTATGTCAAGTGGGAAAGTAATGGATGGAATCCAATTTCGCCATGTGATTCATGTCGACGTGGCCACAATTTCGTGTGGTTCTCTTCTTTGGGGCTAAATCAAATCTATTAAGCAACTTCAGGTGAAGTCAGCAAAAAATGAAATTTATGTTGTTATAAAACTTTAGGGAATAAAAAATTAGTATGCCTAAGAACGAGAAGAGAACAAGCTTCATTTTTTTTTTTGGTCTTCATTTTATGATTTTAAATTGTCTTCTCATTTTTACTTTTGATAATTACAGTAATTTAGAAACTTTGGGGATAAACGTAAAAATATACTCCTTCCCATCCTTAACATCAAACCTATTTAACTAATTTAATGAGATTAAGAAAATTAGATAAATTTGTTAATATCCGATATAAAGTAGATCTTTTTTAATATCATCATTTCCTCTCCTACTTAATTATGGTTAATAGAGTATTCATAGGAGTAATTTAAAAAAATTTAATAAACATAAGAAGTAGATCTTATATTTAAAACTAAAATTAACTCAATAATTAATTATTATATTGAGTACTTTTAATCCTCCAACCATGTGTAAGGTTTCATATTAGTTCATTGATTTTATTAAGTGTTTTTTATTTACTCTTTAATAAATTAATCTAATGGGAAAAAAATTGATACTGTAGTTTAAAATGCTGAGAAAGCATTGCTATATTTTTTTTTTAAAAAAAAAGCGTGTTTGTTTATTTTCTTCCCCTCCTCATTGTCTTTCGGGTGGGAGGGGTTAGTGATGTGTTTATTCTATTTATTGTTTGCTTTTGATCTGCTCCTTATTTCTCCTGCAGTTCTCTTCTTAACTCTTATATTAACAATTAAATTGACCAACTTTAAATTTTGGTATGGGAGAAACAAGATGGAAATTGGCAGGGTTGATTTTGAAAACATAATTATATTTTTAAGAATGATCGTTGGACATGATACAATTGGCAATATTAGCACTTATGCACTTAAAGTCAAGGCAAAAACACATCTTGAAAGAAATGTTTTTAGAAGATGCGCAAAGGTTTGGTTTAAGGCATACCACAAGATGAAAGGATTTTCATCGGTAAAAATCAAGATTCATTTGAAGTGGTTTATAAGCAGTTTTTGAATTTTGACTTACAGAATACAGAATAAGAATATGAGAAGAGTTTTATCTCGATTTTTATAAAAAATATTTATAAATGATTTTAAACACTAATTCAAATAGGGCATGGTCATGTGAATAAAGAGGTAGACAGCATGTGTGGACTCGTGGTGGTTTGAGATTTGGAAGAGCTTAATGATTCTTGATTTTTTCTTGGCACATGATCTCAAAATTCTCCATACCTGCTTTAACACATAAGATGAGCATTTAATCAATAAAAGTAGAGGTCTAAGGTAGCAGATTGGCTTCTTGTTTTTTTTTTTAAGTAAAAAATCACGAAACCTTTATTTTTGAGATTTTTTTGAAGTACTTGTCTTGATACCTTGAAGAGCTTGTTTCAGGATCCCAAAATGTTTGCAAGTGAGTTAAGGAGGCTTATTGAATCGCAAGCTATAATAACATTCCCCAAGTCTAGCTAGACAATTACTTTCCACATCATAATTCATAAACCAAGTTCCCCATTCGTCCAGCTCAACATGAGTTTATAAATCCAGGACTCAGCCCAGCCACAAATCAAAGGTCAATCAACTTACTAAATAATCCTTTAACTTTCAAAATCATCGAATGTGACATCATAACATAAATCAAGTTCCATAACAACACAAGTTTAAAATAACATCTTAAACCATGGCAACAAAAGGAATAGAGATATCATAATTAAGCATACGTGCAACACCAACAAATGAAAATATAGAGTCATCAAGTTCACTCCTCTGTGCTTTTCCCTGCTTTCTAATCAAACCTTCACTTGAAATAGAGCATTCAAAAAATAAATGATCAAGTAATTTCATTACATCTCCAATCCAATCTCACTTAGACCAACCTTCAAATCTTTCAATCCAGTTTTTCAAGTCAACAGACATATATACTACCTTCGGGTCTTACTACAAAACTCAACTGACTAACTTGAAAAGATTAAATAAGTTAAATAAATTACTTTAAAATATTTATATTTATTATTTTTTAAACTAATTTGTTTTTAAATTGATATGCAATCCAATGATATGCATAAATATTTTTAAAGAATCATATAATGTAATTAAATAATATATGTAATTTTATTAATCTCTTTAAATTAATTAACTAGATATTATACAGTTACACTGAGAATCAGAGCAGCATGCTCATCACACGCATATATGTTGATAATCTTCCAATTGGTATCATGATTTGCACTTTGCAATTTCTTATCTCGATCTATGAATCGCTAACATGATCATGACACCGCCCTTTTTTAAACTGTTATTAAATATTACTCATCGAGTTCATATTATATTGCGCTTGTTAGCATTTATCTGTATCAATTTAATTCGTACGTAGCATTTTTTTTTATCCTGTCCATTTCAATATTATGTGAGTTGTGTGTATATGATTGATTCATTAATTATTTTATTGATTTTTTTGCCAAAATTATTTTATTGACCTCGGTCCACCCTTTTTAAAGTTGAAACTTGCAAGTAAAAATATTTTGATTGTTTTAACTTTTCAGTGCGCAATTCTGCTTATAATAATAATAAAAATTAATCTTTTAATATCGGTGATGTTGACTCTTTGAAATTTAGTTCTTAAATTTTGATTTCATACAATCCAGTTTTGTTAGTTGGCTCAGCTACAACTTAATTCTTAAAGTTAAACTTAATATAACTTAATCCCTCTATTTTTAACTATGAAATATTGCTCCTTATATTTTTAAAAGTAAAATTGTCTATTTCATGAAGCTTCAACAACTAAAGTTTTGAATGATTGAAATTTATGTGACGGAGTCGCAGTGAATTAAAAATTTAGAAAATGAGTTATGATTGAGTTAAAATTATAGAAATTGTATTATTAACAATATTTATGTTAAGTTTTTTATATTTATTATACTAAACTTTCTAATCAAACATTATCATATTTTTAAAATATTGTCATTTCATTATAAATTTACATAAATAAATACATAATTTTTTACCAGTAATAAAAAAAATACATAACTATATTCATATTCAAGAACTTAACATAATAAATATAACAAATTTTATACAAGCATCTATGACTGAATGAAAATTATATGAATAAAAAATTAATTTTTTTTTAAAGAAAAAACGGTCTCTGTTGACCTGGTAAATACTACTCCTCCGGTCCTAATTATAAGACCCAATTGACTTATTTGAGGAAATTAAGGAAGTAAGTTAAGTTGGTTATTTATAATAAATAAGTGTTGTCATTCCTAAAATATCCTTGCTAATTAAGTATATTGGCTAAAACTATCATTATTAGAAGGATTATCTTGGAAAAAAATGCATAAATATAAGAGACAAAATGGATTGGGTCTTATAATTAGGACCAAATAAAAAGTCAAATTGGGTCTTATAATAAGGACAGGAGGAGTAATAGGAAAACTTTCTCGGAGTTTGCAAAAGAGCCACGTGGGCCAGCTGGCGTGGATCCCGTATTGAGTCATTATACGATGGGTGTCGCTTTCCTATTTGCGTCCCCACACCGTTAGTGTGGTCTTATCCGCACAATAGTCCAACACACTCCTTGTAGGCGAGCGGTTGGCATCGTTGGACCCGATTCCGAATAAAATAAATAGATCAAACGTCGCCGTACGCTTGAAATCTTCGAGTTTCTATGTGTCGCAGCCCCAATAGCTCCCGGGTTCTGCAAGCGGACACATCGTTTAAGGACGAGCTCTCTATTTTCTATTTAATTTTCTTTCATCTATCTGTCATTTACGATGCAACAAGCACAACAAGCACAATCCCTCTTCTTGGTTGATGTGGAGCTCTTGATTTAACTCATTGATATGTTGAATGTTGGTCTATTTTTAATTAAATAACAATAAACTCCTTTTTTAATATTATAAAAATTCTCATAAATTAACAAAAATAGCGCTCATTTTATGCTGAAAAATCTAGGAAGACAATTTTGATATGCTAAAATTAGATTTTACTACATAAGTATATTAACTTTTCCATTTGATTTGAGGTAAATGAAAAGGAAAGGAGAAGAAATTCTAAATTTCTAATATCGGGCTTGTTTGGAATAGCGTTCAAAAATATTATAAGTATGTTTTACATCAGTTGAGATGGAACTTTTTTTTTGGCCACAAATCGAAACAAAACTTCTCTTACTTGCTTATCTAGTATTTTATAAATCACAATTGAAAAGTTACTCATAAATTATTCTAAACAGGCTTATTATAGTTCATAATCCATTTCTTTTTACAAACACCACATTTACGACCTAATTTTTTTGCCAGAATTTACTACCTAATTTTTTATTTTTTATTCTGTGAGTCCCACATCCACCTTTTTAATACAGGCCCCGCATTTTCCTTTATTATATATATATAAATAAAACGTTAAAATATTGAAAATGCTGGGGCAAAATTATAGATAGAAAAGGAAACGTAAATTATCGTGGGATTAACATCCAAATTATTGGAAGTCGCATGAGTTGATGTAAAATGGAATTTCAAATCAAATCTAGTGTTTAAAAATGTGTGTGCATTCATGGATCAATATATATAATATATATATATATATATATATATTAATGAAACTCGATATTTTTAGGTTTTGGAGTAAGATGTAATATAAAAGCATTTACATACATTTTATAGTCCATTGATATTATAAGCTTGTGTGGGAGGGTGTTAATGGAAGAGCCTCGCATTGTGTGAAACTGCGGGCGTCCAAATGCATATACAGTATCCCCCCCCAAAAAAAAAAAAATGCATGTACAGTAACTTGTGATCATTGTTTAAATTAAAATAGTGTTGGCGGCAGCACTTAAATTGTTTAAAAGTCTAGTGGATCTTCCATCTCCTCTGTAATGTTTTATAAATCTTGTTAATGGCAACACCTGCAGAGAAATGATAAATCCAAGTTATGTTATACGGACACTATCCTTAAGAGCTATTTCGTAACTACCGACAAAGTAAGAAGCGGCACTCCCCAAGATTAAACAGATTCTTCCTATAAGAACGGGGTGAGCAGAATAACGAAAGATAAAAGAACTTAGTAAGACAGAACACTAAAGGAGGGAAGAAACTTGCCCGAAAGCTCAAAACTCGATGGTCATGAACTTCAGTCTCATGCCCCATTTATAAGCTGTGGATCACAAAAGAGTATTGAGCACTTAAACACAATTAAGTTTCGGTTTCAAAATTATTAACCCACTTAATGAGGATTTAGAATTATTAAAAATATCAGTTACAAATATTGAAAAGGTATAATGGTGATTAAGGAAGTGGATTAATTAGATAGATATTTTTCATAAAGAGTGTCCAGTACCGCGTTTGATTCATGCACAGGGGGTGAGGGGAAATTGCCGGATTAGTTTTCGGTGGCCCATTGTGCGTGCAAGTCTATTTCTCCTCTTGACCCTGTTAACAGCCCAAGACCTCTTAGTAGTTCGACCCTGACTCCAAGTGATATGAGAGTCTTCTTTTGACACACCCACACACAATATTTACAACAATTAGCCCCATCAAGTCGCAATAGATCCTAGTTTCCGCTTGTTTATACGTACTTGCTCTCAAAGTCTAATGAAGTTACTAGTCGAGGAGATTCTCTTCCTTCCAATGAATCATTGTTCAATTGATTACAAACAGAAAATAGAAAATAGTTGAGTGTTCTTGCCAAATCTTTTCTCTATGCATCCAGAATAATCATAGACTGAGCTTTCACCGTTTCTTAGTATTACCTTCGGTCATTAATATAATACTGCTACACAACGGCTAATCTAATTTGAGTCTTTCCTATATTTTTGTGGTCTTTGTTTTGCTTGCATTTGCTTCTTTTCTATGTTGTTTTGGGGCCTGTATGTTTCTATTTTTTTTAGTCTTTTATTTCTGTTAATAGCCTCAGTGTTATTTTTTAAGTGTTTGCATTGTGTTTTTTTGAGTCTGTTTTTATGAGTTTTGATAGTCCTTTGTATCCGTGTTCTTTAGTAATAAAACTATCTCTTTGGCAAAAAAAAAAAAAAAGAAGACATAATTGACCAATCTAATAAGATTAAAAAAAGTTAAATAAATTATTTTAAAGTTATTTATATTTATTATTTCTCTTCAAACTAATTTAACCGACTTATAAATTGATATATAAGATAACAATACATGTAAATATTTTAAACAATTATGTGATATGTGCTATAATTAGATAATCTATTTAGATTTTTTTTACTCTATTCAAATTAGTCAGTTGAGTTTTATATCAAATATCAGAACTAGTATCATAAAGATGGAGTTATTTCCATTTGTTTTCTCCTGTTATGGGAAATTATTAAAGAAGGCCATCAATTGAGCGCTATTATATGTTGGCAGTAGCATTGAAATTCTCCAAGATCCAGTAGATCTTCCACCTCCTCTATAATGCTAGGCAAACCCTGTTGACAGCAACACCTGCAAAGAACAGTAAATCCTAGTCGTGTCTTATAGACACTGTCCTTAAGAGCTATTCTGCAACTACCGGCAAAGCAAGAAGCGGCACTCCCCAAGATTAAACGGATTTTTCCTATAAGAACAGGGTGAGCAAAACAGCGAAAGGTAAAAGAACTCAGTAAGGCAGAATACCAGAGGAGGGAAGAGAGTTGCCAGAAAGCTCGGAGCACGGCGGTCCCTCTTTGAACTTTCATCTCATGCCCTTTTTATAGGCTACGGATCACAATACCATTGGGCACATTTAAACGCATTTAATGATAATTAACTCATAATTAAATGAGCGGTTTCAAGTAGTAATTAACTTGTTTAATGACTATTTAAGAAGAATAAAGTCTTCGGTTACGAATATGAAAGAGGCATAATTATAATTAAAATTTAGATAGATATTTCCAATAAAGTGCCCAGTACTGCATTTGACTCGTGCACAAGGGGGTGAGGGGAAATGGCCGGATTTGTCTCCGGTGGCCCATTGTGCGCGTAAGTCCACTCCTCCTCTTGGCCCATTTGGTAGTCCAAGACCACTTATTACTTGGACCCTCACAATCCCAAGCAATATGGGACTCTTCCTTTGATACACCCACACATAGTATTTACAACATTATATCCATCTTTTTTTGCGATACAAGCACAAGGATGAAGATTGATATCACATTTAGAGCAAGAAAAGACAATGCGGAACAAAGAAGCCAAATCAAATAAAAGAGAAACAGCTTAAACAAAGAATAGAAAAAAGCATGAATTCTTTGTTTGCCAAATAAATAATACTCCTCCAATCTTTAATATAAGACTCATTTAACTAATTTGATTAGGTTAAAAAAGTTAGGTAAGTTAGTTAATTATAAGAAATGTAAGACATTTTTCCTAAAACATCATAATCATCTTTCTTAATATCCCATCTCCTTCTTCTACTTGATTATGGTTGAGGGAGTATTCATAGGGGTAATTTAGAGAAAATTAATAAATATGAAAAATGAGTCTTATATTTAGGACTAAAACCAACTCAACAATTGGATCATATATTAAAAACAAGAAAAGTATAATTTATCATGACAAATTTAATAAAAGTAAGAAATAAAATTAATAAGATTTTCAAGACTTATTGTAATAAAAAAAGGGGGGTGGGGGGGAGACTTGAGCATCATCAGACAGTCAAATCACAAAAATCCTCGCGTCAAATCAAGATCCTTTTGCCCCACTCTACTGGCAATTTGCGCCTTTTCTTTTTTTTTTTTAATGGTATTTCCATTTTTATGATTAATTAATAAAATAATAAAATGAGATCTGCATGTTGTGACCTTTTTTATCCATTTCCTCTTGTCTGATGCTTTGAGTAACCAAACTAAATTGGGCTTGACTGCTTGTTCGTTGTGTTCATTTATTTTGAAACTAGACCTCCACTGACAGCTGTGGCTTTTTATAGCCTTTGATAAAATTGATTAACAACTCATGTTGGCCCATTGTCCAATCATACAGATTATTAACCCAGTTACATATTTTGTAAATTATAATTAAAAAACTATTTTTAAAATTTTTTATTGCCATTCTAAACAAGCACTTCAATAAGTTTGGCATTTAGATCGCCCCCAAAAGGCTAAAATAACATTTTTGTGTTATACTTTTCAACCAATTTATAAGTTACTATTTACATGTTTTCCTAGAGAAAAAAAAATCTTATAATTTTACTCTTATTTAGTACATATATATTTTTTTAAAAAAAATTAACAATCTACTCCTCTTGGCCAAAATATAAAAGTTTTTCTAAAAACAAAATTTGATTCAAAATATAAGAGAATAAAAATGTAATTAATGATGGTTTGTCACTTTTATCCATTGTTATGAAAAGGGTAGAGAATATTAAATGCGGGAGGGATGGGACAATTTTTCTATCACATTTTTTAATAAGGTTAAAATAACTAATTTTTATTATTTTAAAACAAATATTACTTAATTTGTGAGAAAATTTAATTATGAATGGAAAGAAATTCACATTAACAAATTAATAATAAAATAGTATATTCATATTAAAAATTTAATAATGTAACTTATTACAGGCGCTAAAATATTTAAAGTAAATTAAATCAAACCCGTTCTGGTTTAAAATCTCGAGAAGAAAAAAAGAACTAAAATTCATAATCCCGAAGGTCTCTGTGCTTATTTGATATATTTCCCTTTCACGGAATAATTTATTGAATTCCTTAATTCAACTCCCTCGCCTCCTTCGTCTTCTCCTCGCTTCCTTCTTCTCAGATTCATCTCTCAGTAGTTAGCACTACGAAATCAGAAGAATCATGACCACTTATGGCACCATCCCTACTTCGTCTGCCCCATCCTCAAACCTCGAATTCATCTCACGCGCCAAGCAAAGAATCAAAGCCGGTCTCGGAACTCGCCGCCCATGGAAGGTTATGTTCAATTTCCGATCCTTCGGCCTCCCTGCCGGTCTCCCCGACGCAATTTCTCGTCTTAGAGTCAACATCGGCTACTTTCGTATGAACTACGCTATTATCGTACTTCTTATTCTCTTCCTCAGCCTCCTCTGGCACCCGATCTCCCTGATCGTCTTCGTCGTACTCATGGCTCTTTGGCTGTTCCTCTATTTCCTCCGCGACGAGCCGCTGGTGATTGCTGGTCGTCTGATCGATGACCGTGTGGTCCTGATCGTGATGGCGGTGCTGACCGTTGTTCTGCTGCTCTTGACCAACGTGACTCTCAATGTAGTGGTGGCGCTCTTGATCGGAGCGGGGTTCCTGGTAGCGCACGCGGCGTTTAGGAGGACCGATGATTTGTTCCTCGATGAAGAAGAAACTTCTGGATTGATGCCTAATGTAGCTACTACGGGTGCTTCTTCTTGATTCTTCTGTTTAATTTTAATTTCCTCTCTTCTATTGTTATTTCACTTATTTGTTAATTAATTTCAAGTTTGAAACTAGAGATTGCATTTCGTTCCTTGTGAATTCATATTTCTATTTTTGGGATGGGATTATGTGTAGAAATTGGTATGGGGTTGGGTTTTGGGTGAATAACGTGTTCTTACTCCTTAGTTTTTAATTTCATTCTTCATTTCTTTTTTATGGCACTAATGTTTGCTTTTTTGGGCTTTGAAGCTGCTAGAAAGTTGAAATTTAAATTTTTGGAATAGATAATGTGGTGCTTAAGATGAAATTGGATCCTACACTTTAGAGAAGTTATGATTGTCCAAAAAAAGTACAGTTAAGACTCCCCCCCGGCTCCTGCTTTTATTGTTTGGAGGTGTTTTTCCCCTTCCTAATTTTGAGCTAAGTTTTTCTGTCTTAATATAGGACTCAATTCTTGATTTGGTTTTGATTCTAAATATAAGATCTATTTTTCATATTTATTAATTTTTTCTAAATTACTCCTATGGATACTCCCTCAACCATAATCAAGTAAAAGAGGAAGAAGGGGTATTAAAAAACATGATTATGGTGTTTTAAAAAAAATGTCACTTTTCTTATAATTAACTAATTTACCTAACTTTCTTAATCTAATCAAATTAGTCAAATAAGTCTTATTAAGAACTGGAAGAGTATGATATTGAGTTTTTTTTTTTTTTTTTTGAAATGACCGGGTGAAAAACGCAGAGACCAGCTAATCATAGTCCAGATTGAAATCTAGAAAGATTTTGTAATTTGTACTATGTAGGAAGAAGAAATATAGATCTAGGGTCTTGTTTGGTTGCAATAAAGAAATTATTGAAATCTGGGAGCAGCCATCATGCAACAAGATATAGAATGACCAAATAAATTTTTATACGGGGGACTTATAAATGTTCACATTTTAATTTACATCCTTTTCACCAAAAAAATTTATATTTTTTAATAAGAGATCCCTATAATTAGGACCAAGGTAATATTTCACAACAAATTCCGTCATGCTTGATAGTTTTAGTTGAAATCATCAATTCATGTATAAAATACTAGTTGTTTTTGTTTTAAATGTAAAATTAATAGGGAGGTTTATTTTAAGTTAAATATAAGATGTTAATTCATATTATCTTTTAAATTTACAATTTTTTTCCTAAATTCTTTCTAATTATTGTATATATTAATGTGATTTTTTTTAGTCAATGAATTCTCAATGCAAGTAATTAAAATAATACCTTAAGAAAATCAATATACTTTTTAATAAATAACTAAACCACCTAATTTCCATAATCTCTACAAAATAATCATATACCCTCCTCCATACCTAGTATGGAAAAGAATACATGTTTTATATGTATTTTTGTTTGAAATAATAATTCGACTTTGATTCAATCCTCTGAATTATTAATTATAAATAATTTGGGATGTCGATTGGTTATGGATTTAATTTTTAAAATTTTCAAACCACTCATCACTACACATGAGCTACAAAACATTAATGTTGATATATGGTGGTGTTAGGTCCGGAAAAAAAAAAAGGTTGGTGAAATTAATGTTTCGCAATTCATTCACAAAGTAACTCGATACTGCTTCCGGTTTTTAATACAAAAACACATTTGATTTTTTATTTTGGTTCTAAATATAAGATTTTAATTTATTTTGTTTATCATATTTATCTATTTTTTTCTAAGGTAGTCTTTATAATAATAGTAGTTTTAACTAATATACTTTATTAGTAAGGATAATTTAGAAAAAATAATTCCTATTTATTACAAATAACTAATTTAACGAGATTTTTTTAATTTATTTAAATTAGTCAAGTAGCTCTTATACTCCTTTCGTCCTTAATATAGAACCTAATTCTTGAGTTGGTTTTGGTTCTAAATGTAAGACCCATTTATCATATTTATTAATTTTCTCTAAATTATCCCTATGGATACTCTCTCAACCATAATTAAGTAGAAGAGAAAGAAGGGGTATTAAGAAAGATGATTATGGTGTTTTGGGAAAAATATGTCACTTTTTTTATAATTAACTAACTTATCTAGCTTTCTTAATCTAATCAAATTAGTTAAATAGGTCTTATATTAAGGAATGAAGGAGTATTAAAGACCAGAGATAGTATAACATATAGCACATAACGCAAATTTAATATTAATTTAAGGAGAATATTTGACATAAATGACAAAATCACTGCACATAAGAATATGCAAGAAGAGTTGTTAGAGATGACGGATTCCACAACAAGAGGATAATATAATTAGTACTACCTTCTGTCATTAATCAAGTATCATTTGATGAAATATTTAATATGTATAACTACTATAAGAACTATCTTAAAAAAATAGATAAATATGAGAGACAAAGTAGATCAAGGTTCATATTATAACCAATTAAAAGTCAAACTAGTTCTTATATTAAAGACAGAAGGTAGTATTTAAAAAACGGTCGGCTATAAGATCATCCTTCTATTAATAATTAATAATAATCAAACCAATCAATAGTATATAATACATCGATCCATGTCCAAATTCCACGCGTCAGAAATAATGGTCATAAAGAAAATGATCGACCGGCCCAATATAAATATTTTTATTAACGTAATTTTATACAAAAAACGTGTTAATTTTTAACACATTTTTTTATGGTTATGATTAACTTAATGTCAACGGCGTCCCTAGCTGTTTACATAATCCTTCATATTAATTTAATATATTCAAAAAATAGCAAAGTTTTTATTAAAATAAACAACAAAGAATTAGGTTGCTAAAATGAGAATTATTCCTTCTAATCAAACCAACGGGATCTCTCTGCATGATTTGGGCTAACAAATGAAGAAAAAAAGTTGCAATCCTCCCCGTGT